ACAATAGATAGTTCAAATTAATATCATCTTGATACAAATCTGTAACTAATCTTATCATGTATACAACAAATTCAAAAAAAAAAAAAAAAAAGTAGTAAGCCTCAGCCTATGTATATCAACTGAAATCTAGATCAGCCAGATTGTGGGTATAGAAGGCTTTAACAGGTTTACTATAAGGATAAAATTGTCCTAAGTCAATATCTGGAAATAAGGAGTACTAGTACTCTCACTCAGTTATAAGCTAATATACATATGCACAGAAGGTTTAAATAGATAACCCCCTAGTCAGGTTATAGGTATGGCATCTAGTGTAGAACTTAATAATAAGTGGACTACTTAAATAGGCAACCAAAGTTGTTTGTGTAGCTAGTTGTACTCTCCAAATATGTATACGGTATGAGTATACTGTAAAAGTTAAACTATAATCGAATAAAAGAAACGCGACCAAGAGGTCACCTTAACATCAAAAAAAAAAAAATTCCTTGCAAAATTTACTCTAAGGCTCCCCACACCTAACCCCACCTAACCCTAATCCTAATTAAGCATCTAAGTTTATTTTTGTTTTTATTTGATCTTATGGCGACAAATTATAATTTGCATATATAAGCACATCACAGGGTGCGACTCATACATTTATCAATATTTATCTAAAATCAGTAAAAATGCTGATTTATCTTATTTTTATTTGTGAGAACTGCTTAAAGAAAAAAAGATAAAATAATTTATTGCTTATTTTTTAATTTTATTATAGTATATTGAATCCAAACATATACGTATATTAAATCACAAAATTATATAACAAAATATGAAAATCTTAAATATAACCATAGTCTAAAATCCAACAGCCAACCCGAAGTCTGGTTTTTTCTCGATGTACTCATGTATGGGAGAAAACTAGAAAGTTCTAAATAAAAGAGATACATTATGGTTTTCACTTGATGACTCATATTCCCAAAAGTTTAGTATGATATAATGTTAATTAGACAAAATATTTTTATAAACTTTTTACTATATATGTATATTAATGTTAATATGTGCTACGTTTATCAGAAATAATAAAATTTAGGCAAAAATCGCGTCACACCGGGTACGTACTGATCTATACTCGGTTGATAATTTTTTTATGTTAGTATTTGTATCTCAAAAAAAAGACCATATCGATATTTAAAATGGTTTCATTAATTCGAACTTGGCTCGAAAAGCAATGCTTGAAGTTAACCGCAAACCCAAATCATTGGAAAATTGGTAAAACAAATCTCGATACATCTAGGATCAAACTCCCAACTTTGTCTGCATCTTTAACTAAATTAAAAAGAAATTACCATAGTGATAATTCAAAATATGTGGATCGAAAAAAACAATTGGTTACGGGAGAATTTTATTATTTGAAAAAAGTCAAACTTTTGAGAAATAATCCTGAATTTAGAGGATTGACTGACAAACAAATCGCAAAGAAATTACGTTCAAAACGTTTAAATCAACTGCATAATCAATTCTGGGAAGCTAATTATAAGAATCCAAATTTTGAATTGTTAAAAGGTATACATCAAATATTAATAAATTTTATTAGAATTTTATATTATTTTACGTTGTTAATTATCTATTTCTATATATTTATACAATTTCTATAGAATTTCCATTATGGTTGAAAGGAAATAGACTAATAAAATTTACACCATGTTTTGAGGGAATGACATTACGACAAATAATAAATTTAAATGAAAATGAATTAGAACAAATTGGTATACATAGATTTGCAGCTAGAAAGATCTTAGTAGATTGTTTTGGATTTATTCGAGTTGCCTTGGTAGGCAATTTCATGAATAATGTCGCGAATATTTTTGCATTCGTTTGTAGAATTATTAATCGTTGATTTTTTTAAATAGGAAGATCCAAAAAATCGATATCATCCAAAAGATCAAAGATTTCTTGATATGGTTATCACGAAATCTCATTCGAATAAATCGATGGAAGACAAATGAACGACGGAATGAGGTAATAAAAAAAAATTATATATATTTAGGTGATGCGGGATTTCTTTATATAAGAATATATTACATGTGCAAGATTTCCCAAATTACGTAAATTACTCAGCATTAGATGCAAATGTCTATTGTTAACGATGTCTTCTTCTAAATTGGATAATTTGTTGCCAACGTGGAATAACATCTTTATCAACCCACCCTTCTAAAATATTTTTCATTAAATAAAAATGGTCTGCTTGCTCTGCATCATAAATGTAATTTATAGACATTAAAACAGTGAATCTACTCGGTTTTACGTGCCTTTTCTTCATTAATCTTAATGTATCAATAATTTCGTGTCCATAATGATTTATTCCTAACAAATTAATATAAGCATAGAAGTTGCGTTCACTGAGCGGATAGCAATTATTCACAAGATTTGTGAAAAATGACTTGCCCTCATTTACACGACCATTATAAGCACATGAATCAAGAAAAATAGTGAATGTACGTTCATCAGGTTCAAGATTTGGATTTTTGACCAAACTATTATACAATTCAAAAACACGATCTATTTGCCGTTCTCTGTTACAAGCGTCCATCAAACAATTGATGCAAGTGGTATCTGGTTGAATACCCTGTGATAGCATTTTTTGATAGGTATCAAATGCCTCTGGAAGCATTCTTTGGTTAATATAAGCACTCATTACGCTACAATATATATACTCATTTGGTGCAATATCCGTTTTTTTCATGTCATCAAATAATCGAAGCGATGTATTTAAGTCTCCCAACATAACAGATGCATCAATTAGGGCAGAATACGTAACCACTGTAGGTTTTATATTGTTTGCAAGCATTTCTTGATAAACATGGACAGCTTCTGTAAACTTGCGACATCTTGCTTTAGCAGTAATAAGAGCAGTATACGCGATAGCATCCGGTTCTATTCCTGCTTTTTTAATATCTTTAAAGATTCTATCCACAACTTGCTCGTTAACACCATTTTTTTGCATCCAAGCAACCATTAATGATGTGTAGGTTATTAAGTTTGGAGATAAATTAGATACTACCACCATATGATAAAACCATCGACTAGCTTCTTTACAAAGTCCAGCACGACCATATGCCGTGATTAAGATGCTATAAGTATGATGATTAGGTTTAACACCTCTTCGACTCATATGTTTAAAATAGTATTCGATTGAAGATATATCTTTTACTTTTCCACATACTTCAAAAAGACTAGAATAGGTTCTGACATTAGGTTGAATGTTTGCCTCCAACATATCTTGGAATAAAGCCTCTGCTTCTTTCTTCTTTTCAAGTTTTGCACAAAGATTTATTAATATATTATAAGTTACATGACTTGGTTGCAGATTTTTACGTCGCATAATTTCCAATATTGAATAGGCACTCTTGAAATCTTTTTGTTTAACGCAACCTGAAATCAATGTATTATAAACTTCCACAGCAGATGGACAATATAACTTTTCAGCCCATTTCTCAGCAAATATGAAAACATCATCTATTGCTTTAACATTACTGTGACACACAAGTGCAACCAACATGTTAAGCATGGAATCTTTTGGTATTTCTTTATCAGCCGATACTAAATCACCGAATAATTTTATTGCTTCATTCATATCAAAATTTGATATATGTTCCATTATGGTTAAATAACGCAACCATACATCATCATTACTTCTAAGTTTTAGATTTCTAATGAGAATTTTGACTTTTTGCATATCAGATTTTTTGATGTAATACTTCACTAATTGTTGTTGAAATTTAATAGGCGAATCGTTTAAAAGTCTATAATTTTCTAACTTTAAGTACAAATCCCAAGCTTTAGCGATGTTTGCATTATCGATATATTTAAATGATTTTATTATCATTTTTAAAAGAGCGTCTTTAATATTTTGAGTTTCATTTGCTGGTATAGGTAACTGTGTGATAATCTTGGGTTTTTCGGATGTAAACTTCAGAGAATTTTTCATTTTATTACCAAGCAAGTAATGTGATCTACTATCGAATTCATTAATTCTTTGATAATGAAAACCTCCGCGAGCCAACTTTAAAATTCGTGGTGATATAAATGGTATTTCTAGTGTTTGATCTAGTGTTCTGTTTAATTGTTTTAGGTAATTACTCATTAATTGTGTAAAATGTGTACGAGTGCTGTTTCTTGACAATATCATCTTGAGGAAAAAAGAATGCATGCATGCATCTAAACATGTGCATAAGTACGTATAAAGATGGTTTTTTTTCAACTAGTACGACTACCGACAATTGTGCACCAATCAGATCTTCAAATGATAGACAGCTGCTCGAAACCGGTTTATTTTTCACAATTTAAAGTACTTTTTGAGAACGTGACGTTTCACTAACAAAAATTCACCGCAAACATCATTAATATTTTAGAAGAGCACCTTCGTTCACTGTGCAAAAGAATCCCCAAAATTAAAAAATTAAAAAATTTTCTTGGGAGAAAAATATACCTACCATTTATTGGACCATATCAAACTATACTGTGACTGGAAGCATTTGTTCAAGATTACTTTATTGTGTTAGACTTTTATTACTAACAATTAGTTAATTTGAATAGGAATAAGCTTATAATAAAGGAAAGTTCAGGTTTAACAGTTGAGTATATTTGGCTCTTGCAATGTGTTTGGGTTGTCAATCGTAATAAGTTTCGGTTTATAGATTGTATACGTATTGTATTAATAAGTTCTGAGTTTATTAATAATAAATACCGCTCTTACCCTACTTTACATGTATCTATCTATTCTTTACGTGTATGAGATTAATTAATTCTTTTATATTTATTAATTAATAAGCTTCTTTATATGTTTTTTTTCGTTTCTTAGTATACCTGATATTATAGTTGAAGACATATGGTTATATCCAATTGACATGCCATCACTAGATCATAATAATTGACATTTTGTAAAAATGACGTAATCATATGTAACTGAAATTTGCCATAACTTTAGCAGGGACGGGGAATACTTCCGCTATCAAATTGGAAATTTTTATCATACTAACATCAATTATTCCATTTATTCCATTTTATTCCATTTTATTCCGATATCACCAAAAAAAAACATATGAGCTAATTCGGGACATGCATAAAGTCTAGACTTAATGCCCTAAAAATTGTTTAATGATGGAACAGGTTGTTTGACATTGTATTGCTATATTGTCTTACTAAATAGTATATAGCGATAGAACTAGACGGTATCTGTTATGTCTGGTATGTACGTACGTACGTCCGTGCAAACAATACTAGATATGTCAAATTACATGACTCAATAGAATTTAGACTCTTGGGTTTTGGGTGGGACTCTTGGGTTTGACGCATTATCTTGCATGATCTATTATATCCTTGAATTATTTAGGGTTTTAGTTGAATTATTTAGGGTATTTACTCAAATTTATTGAGCAATTGTTCTATAGAGCAGGCCAATTAAAGCCAATTAAATACAGGTCCAAAATAAATCTAGTGCCTTTGTCTAGGGCCCAATGTCTCCGATTAGCTCATATGACTTTTTAGCCAACCATTTCCGAAGATTATTACGCGATCAATAGCGAGATTTGATTGGCTATAATTTATCATTTTATTCATTTTATTCCGTTTAATTCTTAATGGAAGTATTCCGTCCCTGAACTTTAGTTGCGGTAATACAACAGGTTATGATAATACAACAGATTACAATCAAACTATATATCATTTTTCTAATTATTTACTAACATTAAAAAAAGCCAAAAAAAATAGTTTCGTTTGCTCTTAACCTATGAACTTATGCACAAGAACAATTATAATTACTACATAGTTGTAGAAATCAAGCACTTTACGAGAATTGGTGAAGAGTAAACCAAATAATATTAACTAAAACTTATATGTATATGTGCTACTAATCACTGTTATAACAGTCGCAAACCTAAGCAACTATTCAATATCAAAGGCTCTTACATTACAAGTGCAACCATGAAACCTGTTCTTATTATTTAAAGATTGTTAACTATGTATTATAATAATCAATTGGTACTTATATATCATAATCAAAAACTCATACAAAATTTTATATTTGCTTACTACTTGTTTGCTAATATTCATAGTATTATATATATATCAAAATGTCATGGCACACATTAAATACTAAATACTGGTAATAAAATGGCGATGTTTTATAGAGCTAAACCATTAATTATTAGGTTCAAAAATTTTTAAAGAATTGTAAAGTTAGTATTGCAACTTATCTAATATCATACAAATAATACATTAGGGCTAATTTGGTTAAACCCAAAATTTAAAAGGCATTGACCGATCAGTTGGGACTGGATTGTCATTTGACAAATATTATATCGTTGTATATTAAAATGATAAATAAACATGCAAATGATTGATTTATTGTTGATTTGATTGGTACAATCTTTATGTAATATCACAAAAAAAGTAATCAGTTTAAGGGTGGGGTAATCGGTTAGACGCCGATTCTAATATACAATTTCTTAAATTG